TATAAAACTTAGTAGTAATATCTAATTTGGTTGATTAATGGAAAGAAAACAAGGTGAAAATAAGTACTGGGTAGCATCATCTGTTACAGGGATGATTTAACTAGAATCAAAGCATTAGAAAGTTCTTGTACTTTTTAGGAAAAGAAAAGAATTTAGATTTGAATTCATGAATATGTTAAAAATTCATAATCAAAGATGCGAGTGTATATAACTTTATAAAATGAGAAAAAGAAATCAGAATATAAATACAGTGGAAATCTGCATAAAACTGTATAGTAATTAGGGTAAATACAAAGCATAAAATAAAAAGGCAGAAAAAATCCATATATATCAGTAACGCCAATAAATTATTTTTTTTATAATGTATATTTTAAATCCTCACATGAGGTTATGTTTTTATTGATTTTAGAGAGGGAAACATCGATCTGTTGCCTCCTGCATGCACCCCTGACAGAGTGGAACCTGAAGCTTTTTGGTGTATGGGACATGGCTCCAACCAACTGAGCCACCTGGCCAGGGAATACCAATAAATTAAAATGAACTAAACATTTTAAAAACAGATTATTCAGTTACAAAAAATAAAATAATATTTAGTTATGAGGTAAGAGACAAACCTAAAACATGAACATAAAATGATTAAAAATAAAATATTGGAATAAAATTGTATCAGAAAATTTATTCTTGCTCTCTTGTACATTTTCCCAGCTCCTTTAGACAACTTTTTTAAAATATATTTTTTATTGATTTCAGAGAGGAAGGGAGAGAGATAGATTGAAACATCACTGATGAGAGAGAATCATTGATTGGCTGCCTCCTGCATGCCTCCTACTGTGGGGGATCAAGCCTGGAACCCGGGCAAGTGCCATTGGCCGGAATTGAACCTGGGACCTTTTAGTCTACAGGCCAATGCTCTATCCACTAAGCAAAACCAACTAGGGCTAGACAACTTTTGTTAAGATTCCTATAATAATAATAAAAAATATTTCTATTACTAAGTAAATTAGTTTTGCCTTTTCTAAAAATTTTACAGAAATGGAATCATACAGTGTGTATTCTTTGGTGTTCTGAAGTTATGCAACATATTGCTATACATATTCATCTGTGTTGTTTTATATCTCAGTAATTTGTTGCTGACTTATTCCATTGTGTGGAATATGTGTGTATACACACGCACACACACACACACACACACATATATATATACAGTTGTATATACAGTGTTCTGTTTATCATTCATTTCATGGTGGATAAGAGGGTTGTGTACTGTTTTGAGCTATTGTGAGGGATCCAGGTATTCAAACATTCTTGTTTGTGTCATTTATATACATATATTTTCATTCTTAGGAATGAAACTTATCAGTGGAGTTACTGTGTCATAACATGACATGTATTTAACATCATTAGGAGCTATCAAACTTTTGGCACTTTAAGGATGTTGTTTCATTTTTTCCATACATTATTTGTGCTTATAAATTCCGATATCACCCTACTGTTATTCTTTCACATCTAATGCACCTTTTTTTCTTTTTACACTGGTGACTTTCTATTTATCTTTTGAATTTTAGCAATTTGACTATGGTGTCTCTAAATTATTATATTTATCCTGTTTGGGATTTGCTTCACCTTTTGGACTTGTGCTTCATTGTTTTTAATCAAATTTAGGAAAATTTTGGCCAATATTAAAATTTTTTTCTCTGCTACAATTTTTCTTTTTCTTCTGAGATACCTATTTAGATGATCTTAGAATATTTGACATTCTGACACATATTCCTCATACTCTGTTCATTATTTTCTATTTTTGTCCTTTTCTTCAGATTGGATAATTTTTATTTACCTGATTTCAAGTTCATTATGTTGTTTCAAGTCTTCTCTTAAACCCACGAAATGAATTTTTCATTTCACAAAATTTCAGTTTTTATTTCCAGAATATTCATTTGGTTCTTTTTTAGTTTCCATTTCTTTCTGGAGACTTACTATCTGTTAACTCAATAAGATAATCTTCTAATTTAAGTCATTGAACATTATGATAGCTGTTTAAAGTACTTTTATGATAATTCCAACAAGTGATCAATTTTGGGATCGGATGATGTTGGGATGGGATCCGAGTGTGGTGCACTGGGCTTCATTTCCTAATCTGAGTGATCAGTTGTAAGTGTTCAGTATACTATTCTGTCTTTTTAATGTTTATAATATTTAATAATTGATATTACATAATTACACAGAGGAAAATAAGGAGTTATGCTTAAAAGAACCACCCTAAAAGAAACACCCTATTTTGTTTGCAGGAAAAATACTCCCAAGAAAAAGTTCCCTGTGAGCAGTTAACAGAATAGAAGAATTTAAGAACATGAAGCCAATAAAGCAATAGCACATATTTGAGGATATAAAATACCAGTATGATAATGAAAATAGGTATTGAGCTACTGAAACAAGCAGAGTTATAAAGCAACATCTGTATGAGCTCAATAATTAGAGGAAAGAGTTGAAAATTGAATTATTAATATTGAGGAAAGGCTTGAGATGATTGTTTTAATATGCAGAAGAAAAGAATGGATATAGAGGATAGACAATGATAATCTGTTATAGGGAAATTAGTGTCCATGACTTAGGAACTGAAGACATGAAATTATTTTTCATTGAATTGTCTTAGCACCTTTATCAAAATTAAGTTGATCATAAATGTAAAGGTTTATTTCTGTACTCTCAATTTCTTTCCATTGATATATTTATTTATTGTTATGCTGATACCATGTCTCAGTTACTGTTTCTTTGTTGTAAGTTTTGAATTCAAGGAATGTGAGCCCTCCAACCATGTTCCTCATTTTCAATGTTGTTTTGGCTATTCTGGGTCTCTTGCATATACATATTAATTATAGGATCAGTGTATTTATTTCTGTAAAAAAAGGCAGTTGGAATTTTAATAGTGATTGCATAGATCTGTAGATCCATTTGGGAAGCATTGCCATCTTAACATTATTAAGTTTTCTAGTCCATGAGCATGGATGGCATTCCATTTAATTAGATTAAATTTCTTTTAATGAAGTTTGTCATTTTCATTATAGATATTTTATAATTTTTTGTTAAATTTATTTCTTTTATGTTGATGTTATTAATGGAATTTCTTAATTTCAGTTTCTGATTGTTTATTGTTATTGTATAGAAATACAATTTTGAATATTGATCTTATATCTTATTATTTTACTGGCCTCATTTATTCTAATTTTTTTTGTGGGTTAATTAGGATTTTCTACATAAAAGACTGTTACCTTGAATAGAGATACTTTCACTTTTTCTTATATTTCTTACCTATAGTAAATGTCTTTGTGTGGATAGGTTATAAAAATTGGTAGCCATATGCTTATAGAGTTTCAATGTTTATTGAATGATTTGAAGAAAAACTTAAGAATATTGATAATCCTTAAGAAAGCAATTTGTCATCTTTGATTCTTAGTGTTTTTATATGTAAGATTAATTGATATTTAAAATCTATAGTTGAAACAGCATTTGACTCTGTCCTGCACTAGAGATTGAGAGGTGTAGAGGATCTATCTAATATATAGTCACAAACCCAAACAGCCAATCAAAATCAGGAGTCAAAGCAACACCCAATGAAAGAACAAGCGAATGCTCCAGAAGAAGAGATAAATGAAGCAGAGATAAGAAATTTATCTGAAACAGAGTTCAGAGTAATGATGGTAAAGATGCTCAACAGCATGAGAAAAGATATAGTAACTATTAAAAAAGAACAGTCAGAAATAAAGAATGACATAACACAAATAAAGAATACATTGGAAGGAATACAGAGCAGATTAGGGGAAGATGATGATAAAATCAGTAAATTAGAAGACAGGGTTGAAAAAACACTCAATCAGAGAACCGAAAAGCAAAAACAATTAAAAAACAGGAGGATAGCTTAAGAGAGCTGTGGGACCATGTGAAACATAATAATATTAGAATAGTAGGTGTGCCAGAAGAGGCAGAAAGGGAGAAAGGAATAGAGAATGTGTTTGAAGAAGTATTGGCAAAAAACTTCCTTAACCTGGGGAAGGAAAAGTCACACAAGTTCAGGAGGCACAGAGAACCCCAAGCAAGAAGAACCCAAGCAAGAAGAACCCAACCAGGCCCATGCCCAGACACGTCATAATTAAAATGCCAAAAATTAAAGACAAAGAATCTTAAAGGCAGCAATAGACAAGCAAACTGTTATCTACAAAGTAGCTCCAATAAGGCTGACACCTGATTTCTCATCAGAAACTCTACAGGCCAGAAGGGAGTGGCATGAAGTACTCAAAGTAATGGAAAACAAGGATCTAAGACCAAGATTACTATATCCAGCAAGGCTATCATTCAAAATACATAGCCAAATAAAGAGCTTCCCAGACAAAAAAAAAAAAAAAAAAAAAAAAAAAAGGCTAAAGGAGTACATCACCACCAAGTCAGCATTACAAGAAATGGTAAAGGGACTGCTGTAATAATAAGAAGAAAGAGAGAGAAACCTAGACATACAGAATTGAAATGGCTATAAATAAGTACCTATCAATAATAACCCTAAATGTAAATGGATTAAATGCTCCAATCAAAAGGCCTAGGGTAGCAGAATGAATACAAAAACAAGAACCAACTATATGCTGTTTACAAGAGACCCACCTCAGAACAAGACACACACAAGATGAGAGTGAAGGGATGGAAAAAAATTTTTCATGCAAATGGAAAAGAAAAAAAAGCTGGAGTAGCAATAGTCATATCTGACAAAATACACTAAAATCTATAGTTAATGTTAGCAATATACTTATTGCTGAAAAAATTGGGTTCATTGTTGGTTAAGTCAGATTTGTAAGTAACAGTCATGGGACTTGCTTCATATTATTATTTAGCTATTTCTGACATGTTTAGCAAATATTTACTATCAAAGTACATTCATTTCATTTTTCCTTGGAAATATTACTTCATGTTTAGTTTTCTTAGCACTGATTTGAAAATTTTTGCTTTTTATATGCTAGGTGTAACCCGGAAAAATCCTAGGACACCTCTTTCTGACCTCCAGGGCATAAATACTTTAAATGAAAAAAACCAACAGTAAGTATGTTTGGCTTTTGTTTTCAAGGAAGTATAGAAAAAATAACTAGAATTCTTATACTTTTGTGGCTTTAAAAATATAAAGAAAATCAGGCCTAGTTTGCTTTATATTTTTTAACTCTTTTATAAATGGTGTAGTTTGTTACTAAGGTTAGAGTTAACAAAATTGCCTCTGGTAAAATGGTTGTACAATTAAAAACAAGTTTTCCCAGAATAATTTAAAATAACGACTTATGTTTTTATTTCTGAGACCCTTCTTGCATTTTATGTCTTTTGCAAATTTTAAGGGTTATCTGCTGCTCTCTGTAGAGAAAACTTATTGGTAAGTAATAATTGAGTATGGTTTATATCAAACCATTGAATACCTTTTGTTGCTCAGTGTGATAATCAGAGCTTACTTTTTAACCATTTTTAATGAAGAATTCTTGAGTAAATTTTGAAAATAACAAGTATAATTTTCACAGTTTGTAAATAGTTACTTTGTTCTTTATACATGCTGTTTTCAAAAGATTATACTTTATATGAGCACATTGTTCTATCACCTGTTTTCTCCAAAATATGTGTATTTAGTGTATATCTAGAGTCTGCTTTCTACATTTTAAACATCATCAAGTAAATTGACTTTCCTGGTAATAAGGATGTAATTATAAAATGGTATCTTATTATAGTTATAATTTTCATTTTCTTGCTTGTTAATTATGCTGAATATATTTTTGTATAAAATGCCTGTTCTGCCCTAGCTGGTTTGGCTCAGTGGATAGAGTGTTGGCCTGTGGACTAAAGGGTCCCAGGTTTGATTTCAGCCAAGGGCTCATGCCTGGGTTGCAGGCTAGATCCTCAGTAGGGCGCTTGCAGGAGGCAGCCAATCAATGATTCTCTCTTATCATTGATGTTTCTGTCTCTCTCTTTTTCTTCCTTCCTCTCTGAAATCAATAAAGAAATATATTTATATATATATGTGTGTGTGTGTGTGTGTGTGTGTGTGTGTACATATGTATATGATGCCTTAATGCCTGTTCTTTGTTTGCAAATATTCTTAAAAAGTTTTTAAAATAAATCTCATGTACTGATGCCACTTAAGTAACATGTTACAAATATATTTCCTAATTTGTAGCGTAGCTGTTTACTTTTGTTGTTGTTGCTGTTAATCCTCACCTGAGTATATATTTTTTCCATTGATTTTTTAGACAGGGTGAAAGAGGGGGGTGGGGAGAGAGAAACAGAGAGAGATAGAGATAGATAGATAGAGCTGTCCTGTCATTAAAATTAAGGTATAACGTTATTGATCACTTTTCCTATTTTACATTACTATATATTTTAATGTATATTGTCACTTCCCTGCTCAATAACTTTTTTATAACTCTTTGTTGTTTGTTAAAAGAAGTCTAGATTCACTAGTCTCAAATGCTAGAGCTGTTACAGCCCAAGTATCCAATCTCAACTCTATTTACCTTCAATGCCAACAAATTGAATGATTTACTATCTTGATAGTTATGCACCTTGTTTTCTTAACAGTAATACTTGACTAATGATGAGATTCACCACTATATTTTCATGTTAAGTTTCACCCAAGAACAAATTAGATCTTTAATCTGTTGACCTGTGTACCTTTAATTCAGTCTATTGAGAGTACAGGTGTACATTGTAGGGTTGGTTCCAGACCATCGCAATAAAGCAAATATTGCAATAGAATGAGTCACATGAATTTTTTGATCTCCCAGTGTGTATAAAAGTTGTATTTACACTATACTTAGTCTATTAAGTGTGCAGTTGTCATATGTCTGAAAAAGCAATGTACATATCTTAATTTAAAATTACTTTATTGCTAAAACATGCTAACCATCATCTGTGCCTTCAGCAAGTCATAATATTTTTTGCTGATGGAGGGACTTACCGTTAATTTGTAATAAGTGAAATATCTGCAAAGTGCAGTAAATCAAAGTACAATAAAATGAGATATGCCTGTATTCTAACCCTGGTCGTTAGAGATCTCTGAGTGAACGAACCTGTTTTGCTGATTTGGATTTAAAAAAGAGCCCAGCTGGTGTCGCTCAGTGGTTGAGTGTCAACATATGACCTATGAACCAGGAAGTCCTGGTTCGATTCCCGGTCAGGGCACATGCCTGCGTTGTGGGCTCAATTCCTAGTATGGGTCATTCTGTAGCCTCCCAGAAAAAAGAAGACACATTGCCGATACTGGTTTGACTCAGTGGATAAAGCGTCGGCCTGTGGACTGAAGGATCCCAGGTTCGATTCCAGTCAAGGGCACATGCCCGGGTTGCGGGCTCAATCCCTAGAAGGAGGCAGCCAATCAATGATTCTCTCTCATCATTGATGTTTCTAATTCTTTCTCCCTCTTTCTTCCTCTCTGAAATCAATAAAAATATATTTTAAAAATATATATGTTTTAAAAAATAAAAGGTTACAGTGACTTACCCCATTTCCCAAAGCAATTTAATGCTTATAATCTCTTAGTTCCTAGCTTTTTTTTCTTTATACTTCAAATTTTGGATACCTGGAGTGACCTATATGGACTTCTGTTTTTTATGTATCAGTTGGGATAGCCTAATACAGTGGTTCTCAACCTTCTGGCCCTTTAAATACAGTTCCTCATGTTGTGATCCAACCATAAAGTTATTTTCGTTGCTACTTCATGACTGCAATGTTGCTACTGTTATGAATCATAACGTAAATATCTGATATGCAGGATGGTCTTAGGCGACCCCTGTAAGAGGGTCTTTTGACTGCCAAAGGGGTCGCGACCCACAGGTTGAGAACCGCTAGTCTAATACTTAAGATTGAGTTGGTCTGGACTCAAGCAATTTACTGAATTTAGGCACTCATGGAATGATAAGTTAATTTTGTAAATATATGTATATAAATTTATATGAGACCCTTCTTCAGAGGAAATTATATTACATCAGCTTGATTCTTTTCTATTGTATACAATAAAGAAAGATATATGTGGCATTGAAGCAATGTTATCAGGAAAAGGTCAGCTAGCATTCTTAACAAGAGGATTCTTCCAGGTTGTATTTATTATATTGGTGAATTTATTTTATACATATTTTAGAGAAAATTGGTGAGAAGAGGGAGAAGACAGGGTATTAGATACTTAAAAAATAAGATCAACTATGAAATCATTAGCTATGTCTATTAAGTGGGGTCTTTTGGATCTTTTCTATGTAATTCTTCTAATAAGTGACTCTTAAATGATAAAAGCGTGGACTGTCCAATTTGGTGGTGATCTAGGATAAGAATTGATATAGTCTGTATAAAACCAATGAAATGTAAATAGTAAAACAGTTTTTAGTTAGTGCAAATATTCCTCAAGTGAGAGATAAAACTTTCATTAATGTTGAAAGGGCAATTGTTATTTTTTGTAAGAGAGTATAAACTGGAAACAAATGTCTTTATATCAAACTATGATTTGTGAAAAAGTACAGAGCCTCTGATTACATATCATAAAGCAAAGATTGTAAATGTACTAGGGACACTGCTATAATGATTCTTATTATGAATAAAAAGACTGCACTAGTAGCCAAAGACACATATATTCCTAGGTGGAAATAGCTCTTGTAAGTGAATAGTTGCAGAGCAGAATGTGTGAAGACTAAAATACACCATCTTATATTGACAAAAACAATGCCTTTGGAAAGTTGTTATCTAGGAGGAAACAAAAGAGTGTGTCATTAGAATTTATTATCAACAAATACATAATGAATTTTGTGCATTGTAGAAGTGTATGGTAGGTTTCATAATTAAATGGTACCTATTGTACTACCATGCAAATCCCAAGGCATTAAGGAACAGGAATTACTCTCATTAAAACTCTTAGGTTATGGCACCAATCTTTAGGACTTTGTACTATATTGATATCCACATATTTGATGACTGAGATAGAATTATCCTGTAAAAGTTAACTGTAGCATGTTGTGCATCCTGATTTCTATTCTTAGTACAGCTAAAAACTCGCTGTCTAAAGCATTATTGATGTTGAAATTCAACTTTTCCTCGATCTGGACAAATGTGTATTATCTGAGATATTCTATTGTAAGTACTTCTGATAAAGTTTTGTTTAAAACATCAAATTATTAATACCATTGTTTTAGAAATATTTAACATTTATAAAGATGAGTGGATTTCAAAGTTCTATTAGAATTGATATGACTCGATGCCACATAAAATAGCTTGGAGTGATTTTTTTTTTATGTTATAGCTAGATAAATTTCATTGATTTCTTCATGTCGTAGTATATATTTCATTTACCATATTTTCCAGGAAAAATATAAAACTTGGATATTAGTGTAAATAGGTGTATGTGATTACTAAATCATATAATAATAGCAAATTATAAGTATGAAATAATACTTATATTTTACTATAAATTTAAAATGTTATGTATTGTGTAGTCATTTCAGAAGTCTTTTTTGTGTTTTTACATAGTTTGTTTGTTTTTTTGTTTGTTTGTTTTTTTTTTTTTTTTTTTTTTTTTTTTATTATTAATGTGTTACAAACGTGTCCTCAGCCCCCC